AGAGCAGCACAATACACCGTCATATGTATTCTTTTCCCTTCTTTCCTGGACTTCTGCTCAGGGCAGAACCAGCTTTTCACGCAGGCTTTGTGCTCTTAGACACGGAAAGGCCAAGGAGCTTCTGGAACCACGACTTCCCTTTTCGCTCTGTCCCAGTGGTCAGCTTCCACATGAGTCCATGAGGGCACTCTCTTCAGCTCCTGGCCTCCTCCCCCAGCTGAGTACCCACGTATTCAGCAACTCGCTGAGTGACATGTTTGTCACCAGGACGTCTCGAGATGTCCAGCAGAATTCTGTACTCTTCTTCCCCCAAGAGCCTGGGCACAGAAACTTTTAGCTGTTTCCTTTCTGTTGATTTGGGTCCCAGCGTGGTTGACAGAGCTCCTTTCTCCCCCAGCTGGGCCCCATCCCCACATAAAAAGACTAGTAACTTCTAAAGTTCCTCTTAGTGGGTCTCCAATGGAGTTCTCAGCAGAAACTAACAGGCCACGAGAAAACCAAAGACATACTCAAAGTATGCAAAGATGAAAACTGTCAGCCCAAAATACAACAGCCTACTAGAATATCTTTCATATATGAAGGATGCTACTTCAAAAGAAAGAAAATAGGAAAAAGCTCTCGGAAGCATGAAAAATCAAGGAAATGTGACATCACTAAATAATCACAAATAACCTGCCATTAAGCAAACATGAAGATAGATATCTACAATTTGCTTAACAAATAATTTAAAACAGTTTTGCTTTAAGGAAATTCAATGACTTATCTGAAAACAGATAATTTCTTGAAATCAGAGAAATAGTACACTATTGGAAATTAAATATTGATAGAAATACTAAAGAAGTACCAGTTTCATAATGAATAAAACGCAAATGCAACAAACAGAAATAGCAGACTATACCTGATAAGAGATTCAGTGAAATGTGAGTAAGAGCTTTGAAAAAACAAAGTCTGAAGAGAAAGAAATAGAATGAAGAAACTCTGAATTCCAGAGTATAGATGACAGAAAGCCATTCTAAGGCTTCCTATAATGATGTAAAAGTCCTAGAAATAGATATTATGTATGCATATGTACACGCAGACCAACAGTAGATTATAATGAATCAGAAATCATGAACCTCTCAACAAAGTAAAGTCAAAGAACATATAGTATTACTGGTGAATTCTAGCTATCAACATTTAAAGAAAAGTCGATAATAATTTTTCTCAAAAAAATTCAAATTTATTCAAAATACAATCCAACAGAAAAAAACTGATGAATTGGTTTTGATTTTTTAAAAAAGATATAAACATCTTCTCTGTAAGGAATAGTGTTAAGAGAATGGTAAGACACGTTACAAACTGAAAAAATATTTTTCAAATACATACTTAACAAAGAACATATACTAAGATGTACAAGAACTCTTAAAGAGGTGGAGAGGTAGTACAGTGAGTTGAGAATGACCCAGGTTCAATCCCTGGCACCACTAGAAATGATCCCTAAGCAACAGCCAGGAGTAACTTTGAGCACTAGTGGGTGTGCCCAAAAGAAACCCACAACGGGGCTGGGGAGATAGCACAGCGGGGAGGGTGTTGGCCTTGTGCACTGCCGACCCTGGTTCAATCACTGGCATCCCATATGGTCCCCCGGGCACTGCCAGGAGTAGTTCCTGAGTGCAGAGCCAGGAGTAACCCATGTGCATCACCTGGTGTGACCCAAAAAGCCAGAAATTTAAAGAAAAAAAACCCACAAAACCAAACCAATAAGAAAATAAGCAGAATATCAAAACAGTCACTGGTCAAAAAAATAATACAAATGCCATGAATACTATACCTAATATACATATGCACAGATGTCCAATACTGTCTACCAGGAAGAAGTCAAATATTAAAGCAATGAGATATAATTATGCACCCGCTAGAATTACTATTCTGCTTGAATGATTAATTAGATTAACAGAACAGTTATCGATATATTTTATCATCATATAACAGAATGTCACAGGCTTTATTTAACCAGTTAACATAAGTAACATTATTAATATATTCTGTCATCATGTAATAGAATATCTCCTATCTGATCACACACCCAGTAGAGTAACTAAAATGCCAAGCATGGACACCAACTCCGGGAGAAAATGGGGCTATAACAAACAATAGCTCTCATTTATTGCTGGTGGAACAGAAAATGATGAAGCCGGTTTGGATAACAGTTTTGCAGTTTCATACAAATCTAAGCAATCCTATCATAGGATAAGCAATCACAATGCGATATTTCTCAAATAAGTTGAAAACTATCTTCAAACAGACTCACCTGACATTCGAGACTATATTTCACTTTACTTGTAATTGTCAAAAGGTGGCAGCAGCCAAGATATCTTTCGTGATATGTGAATGATATATGTCTTGTTTGCCAAGGCGTCAAAAATCAGATGGGCTGGTCACGTAATGAGATTTGGAGACGACTGCTGGACTAGAGCCGTTATTGACTGGATTCCACGGGATGTCAAAAGACCACGTGGCCGCCCACCTACCAGATGGTCAGACTTCTTCATCAAGATCATGAACGATCGGTTTGAGGCTCTTCGTGTTCCTAGAATGAACAGATGCCATTGGGCTACACTAGCACGCGACAGGGACAGATGGAGATGTTACGGCGCCCGCTCGAGCAAATCGATGATTATCGGGAAGTCAAGTGATCAAGTGATGTGAATGAATAAACTGTGATATGATCAAACAAATGAGTGTTCCTCGATGATACTGAAGCACTGAGATCTGGGGGTTAGGGGCGTGAGCACAAGAGCCACAACACGTGCGGGGCAGAGTCTGATCAATCCGGGAACCACATGCCCCCTTGCCTCCCCGATAGACAGGGGCCTGTCCTCTAAATACTGCGGGTGTGGCAGTGTGTGGGATCAGCCGTGCTGTCCCCGGGGACTCAACCCCAGCATGTTAAAGTGGCCAGCTCTGGACAGAGGTCTGTAGGGGAGTAGCCCAGGGGAGAAGGAAGGTAAAAGGTAAGAGAACTAAATTCAAGAAAAGGAGGCCGGAGCTATAGCACAGCAGGGAGGGCATTTGCCTTGCACACGGCCCACCCAGGTTCAATCCCCGGCATCCCATATGGTCCCCTGAGCACTGCCACGAGTAATTCCTAAGTGCAAAGCCAAGAGTAACCCCTGAGCATTGCTGGGTGTGACCCAAAAAGGGGAAAAAAAGGCAAAAAAAGGAGGGGCATACACTGCCTCAGCTTCAAGGGGGGTCCCGAGCTCTGCTGGCTGGATCCCTGGCACACTGGTTCCCCTTTTCTGTTTTGCTTTGGGGCCACACCCGGCGGTGCTCAGGGCTCCCTCCGGACCCTGCGCCCTGGGCTCTCTCTGGTCGTGCTGGGTGGGTTCGAACCCGGGTCGGCCAATGCAAGGCCATCGCCTGATCCACTGCACCATGGAACCTTCCAGTGTCATCTTCATCACCTGCAAACCTGACTGAAGCCAGGTACGCTTTCCGGGTGTAGTTTCGATTAAATAAATCTGACGTCAGTGTCCAGTGCCCGTGCATCCAGCCGCACACACGTGCGCACAGACATAGACATGCGTGTGCACGGACAGACGCACGCCCAGTTAACTGGTGCATAAGTTGAGTTAGCCTTGCAGGCCGATGCGGGCAGCAGGGCAGCCATACGCGCCCCTGTCCAGCCCTGGCACCAGCTGCTCTGCACGGCCCTGCCCTGCCCGCACTGCCCACTTCCGGGGCGGGGCCTTCCCGGGCCGCCTTCCAGGCTGGGGGATGATGGGAGCGAGCTGGGCTGCAGAGCTGCCGTGTCGTTCGCCTCCTAGCGGCCTCTCCAGGCCCCCTCCTGCGCGTGTCGATCCACCAATCACAGCCCGCCTCTGAGGCCACGTGGCGCCCAGGGGCGGGGCCTCGGAGGACGGGGCGGGGCCTTCCTGGGCGCGTTCCTGGATGGGGGAACCACCAAGACGAGAAAGCTGGACTGCAGAGTGGCCGATGGATGCTGAGTCCTAGAGCGGCCATGTCATTCCGCCCCTAGCGGCCTCTCCAGGCAACCTCCCGCTCGTGCTGATCGACCAATCACAGCCCGCCTCTGAGGCCACGTGGTGCCTGGGGCGGGCCCTTCCCAGGCCACGTTCCAGACTGGGGGACCACTAAGACGAGCGAGCAGGGCTGCAGAGCGGCCTATGGACGTTGAGTCCTAGAGCAGCTTTGTCATTACGCCCCCTACAGGCCTCTCTAAGTACCCTCCCTCGCGCAGATCCACCAACCACAGCCTGCCTCTGAGGCCACATGGTGCCCGGGGCGGGGCCTCAGGGGAGGGGGCGGGGCCTTCCCGGGCCTTGTTCCAGGATGGGGGAACCACCAAGACGAACGAGCGGGGTTGCAGAGCAGCCTATGGACGTTGAGTCCTAGGGCGGCCATGTCATTCCGCCTCTACGCCTCTAGCGGCCTCTCCAGGCACCCTACCGCTCACTCAGATCCACCAACCACAGCCCGCCTCTGAGGCCACGTGGCACCGGGGGCGGGGCCTCGGGGGGACGGGGTGGGGTCTTCCCAGGCCGCGTTCCAGGCTGGAGGACCACTCCACCAACCACAGCCCGCCTCTGACGCCACGTGGCGCCCGGGGGCGTGGCCTCGGGGAACGGGGCGGGGCCTTCCCAGGCCGCGTTTCAGGATGTGGGGGACCACCAAGACGAGGGAGCGGGGCTGCAGAGCGGCCATGTCATTCCGCCCCTAGCGGCCTCTCCGGGCACCCTCCCGCTCGCGCCGATCGGCCAACCGCAGCCCGCCTCTGAGCCCACGTGGCGCCCGGGGGCGGGGCCTCGGGGGACGGGGCGGGGCCTCCAGGGGCGCTTTTGCCGCCGAGCTTGCACCGGAGCCGCTGCTGCTGCAACCTGCTGCGCATCCCCCTGGGCGCGGCCCACGCGGGCCCCAGCCGGGCGCTCGCCGCCTCCCTCGGGAGCCCGACGCCGTGCGCGGGCAGCGGGCAGCGGCCAGCAGGCGCCCGCCGCGAGATGGGCAGCCACGCGCGCAGCCCCGGGTGGGCAGCGCGGGACAAGCGCCCGGCGCCCGCCGCGCCCGCCGGCCCCCCGGACGGCCCCCCGGACGGCCCCGTGGACGGCCCCGCGGACGGCCCCGCGCCCGCCGCGGCCGTGCTGGTGCTGGCGGCCGGCTGCGCCCTGCAGCTGGCGCTGGACGGCGTGGAGCTGCTGCTGGAGCCCGCGCCCACGGCCGTGCTGCACGTGCGCCTGGGGGCCCGGAGCGTGCTGCTGGTGCCCGAGGCGCTGGGCGGCGCGCAGCCCGGCCTGCAGCCCGGCGCCCTGCTGCGCGGCCTGGGCCAGGTGGTGGCCGTGGAGCAGGCCTGGGGCGGCGCGGGCGCCCACCTGGAGCTGGTGCTGCTGCCCGGCGCCGACGCCGCGGGCCGCGGCGAGCTGGAGCTGCGCCCCGAGCCGCGCGCGCCGCCGCCGGCCTGGCCGGGGGGCGCCGGCCCCAGCCCCAGCCCCGAGCGCGGCCCCTACTGCAGCCTCGGCCTCGGCCGGCACCCGGGGACCCCCGGCCGCTCGTCGCTGCGGCCCCTGCCGCCCTCGCCCCCGCCCGGCGCCCCCGAGCGCCCCCCGGAGCGCGCGCTGGGCCCGCACCGCAGGGCGCGGCGCTGCCTCTTCCCGGAGTGACCGCGCGTCCTGCGCGCCCACCGTGGCCACGCCGCGCACCCGGCCCGCCGGCGGAATTTTCTGGAAGGAGCGGCCCGACGAAAGGAAGCGCCTCCAGGGTGCCGAGCTCGCCCCCGGGCCCACCGGATTGCTACTGGGTTGCGCTGCGGCCTGCGCGCCGGGTTCTGGGTCTTGGTGACGTGCCCGCGCCTGGCCGTGCGCGGGGCCTGCTCCAGGCGCATGGAACCCGGAGAGCCTGCCCGGTGCCAGGCCAGCGCCCCATCTGATGAACTTGGTGTCTCTGGCTTGGCACTTAGCCCCGGCACTCTGCACTTCGCTCCAGCACTCTGCACTCAGTGCCAGCACTCTGCACTCAGCGCCAGCACTTATTTCCCTTCGTCTCCAGTGTCCTGCGTCCTTCTGAAGGCCCCCAGCGTGGCCGTCTCTATCCAGGATTCCAGGCGTTGTCACGGTCACTGGCTCGGGTTCCAGCTCTGTTCTCCAGGTCAGTTAGCACGACTGTCTCACCCTTACGGCCTTTCCTGCAGGGGCACCTAGCCAAGAGGTGTACGTGGACCCTCATCTGCCAGGTACAGAACGCACTGAGAATGAAGGACCAATGGGATGTGCCCCAGCTTTGGAGTTGTTTGACAAATGGTTTAAGTGGATCATTGAGTTGAGGGGAGGAAGGCACTGTGCCCCTCGCCCCCCCATAGAGTTGTTTTTCTAGGTCCCAGATGCAGAGTCTGTTTTGTACAATGTTAAGGGTGTATAGGAAACAATGTGTTTTCTTATGCTGATCTGAGATTCAGCTAAGTTAACTTTTCATGACATCTGTAGATCATCCTGGTGAACTGATAAAGGCAGGGCTATCTCTCCAAAGTAATTTTTGACAAGTTGCTTATATTTTTGGCTAAATATTTTATTAAATATCACCTTCCAGCCTCAACAATAACATTAATAGAGGTTTTCCTGGCCCATACTTGGGTTATTGCAAATGCTTCTAAAATCTACCCTAAAGATCCTTTCTGAATACTGCTAGCATACAGAATATTATCCTGCCTTATTCCAAGTCACCTTCTGTAAGAGTAACTTGATCATCGAACCCTGAATTTATTAGGAAATGCACAGAAACCCGGCAACAGAGCATTTGGGCTTCCGATGTTGAAGAATGGAATTCCCACCTGAGTACTTAAGAAGGGAAAGAACATTAACTGTAGGATCGTGTTAAGAACTTTAAGTGTAAATTTTAGTAGATCTGTGAATTCTGTTTGTTTGTGGGCCAGACCAGGCAGTGAATAGACCTTACTCCTGGCTCTGTGCTCAGCTATCACTCCTGGCAGTGCTCTGGGGACCATATGGAGTGCTGGGGATCGAACCCACGGGACCATGGGTGAGGCAAGCACCTTGCTTGCTCTGGCCCCAGTTTTTCTGTATTCTTAATATGACTTGAAAAGCCATGTTTATGGCTTTTTCCTAATCTGTTTTTGTGGTTTTTGTTAATAAACCTTCTAACAAAGTATTTTTGCGTCTTTGTTATTTCATACTTGTTTGTATAGTTCTGTCCTTTTGCTTTATTACAAATAACCATTTAGTTCTGTCCCAAGCAGCTCCGGGCTGGGAAAGCCACGCCCTTTGCCTTTCTAACCTATGGGTGGGGGTTAGCAGACACCCTGAGTAAAGTTCTAGGAGGCAGCTGCAGGAAATTCAAACCCATGGAACTCTGCTAGCCCCACCCACAGGTTAGAGAGGCAAAGGGCGTGGCTTCCCATCAGGCGGCCACTAAGGAGCCACCAGTTACACTCCCCAACTATCACCCGGTACAGCCATCTCCAAAGTAGCGCCACAGAGTTATGAAGCAATACCAACAAGAAAGGGAATGTCCTAGGAGGGGAAAGACGAGATTGCCACCCCCAGACTCCAACAGGCTCTTCTTCTCGTAAGAAGAAGAGCACCAGACCACACCAAGAGCAAGCAAAGAAGAGGAAGACAGGAGCCCTGAAGCTCCAACATGGAATACCCACATGCAAAGTCTCTCTGATGAAGAATTCAGAGACAAAATGGTGAGGATGTTCAGTGAGCTTCAAGAAACAGTGGGACAGATATCCAACAAAATACAGGAAGATATGAGAGCAACAATCGGATGGACAGCCAATAAGATACAGGAGGAAATGAGAGCAGAAGTAAGGAAACTACAAATCGAAATGTCATCAACAAATAACCATTGATATGTTACTTCTAACTTTACAATATTATTCTGCAAAGTTTATTTCTATAAAAAATTAGTTCTTAGTGATAAAGCTGGATAAAATAAAGGAATGGGGAAATTACAAATGCTTATTGCTTAGTAAAATAAGTTAGTGAAAAAAAAACCCAACGGCATACTGGGGCTGGAGAGATAGTATATGGTGTAGGGTGCTTGCCTTGCACATGGTGACCAACTGGGACTCCATCCCCCACATGCCATATGGTCCCCTAAGCCCCAGGGCATGCCAGGAGTAAGCTCTGAGCACTGCCAGGAGTAGTCCTCCAAACAAAACAAAGAAATGCATACAACACTCTGGAATATATATATATATATATATATTCTCATTCTCCTAATCCTGAAAGAGCATTGAAATGGCTCTTTTAAAATCTCAGGGCTAGAAAGAAGGAGACGTTACTGGTGCCTGCTTGAGGAAATCGACGAACAACAGGATGATCATGATCATGATATATATATATATATATATATATAGAGAGAGAGAGAGAGAGAGAGAGAGAGAGTGCAATACTATGACCAGAAGTTTCAGAAGTAATACCTTCCCAAACTACCAGAAGCTTGGAAAGTAATATCTACTATTTTTTTATTTCTCTTACACTACTTAGAAGAGTAAGCTAGTGGACAATAACCGGGAGTTCAGTGAATAGAGGTCCTATGAGTTTCTAGGCAGTGAGACGACGCAGCATGAAATAATTGTACATCTGACTATTTGTCAAAACCCACTCGGTGCAACATTGAGTGTAACTATAGTCACTGTTATCCTGTTGTTCACCGATTTCCTCGAGCAGGCACCAGTAACATCTCCATTCGTCCTAGCCCTGAGATTTTAGCAAGTCTCACATTGGAGGCTCTTTCTGGGTCAGGGGAATGAGACCCATCATTGTTACTGGGTTTTGACATATTGAATATGCCACGGGGAGCTTGCCAGACTCTACCGCGTGGGCAGGATGCACTTGGTAGCCTGCCAGGTTCTCCAAGAATGAGAACTAGACAATAAGAGGGGAGCTGGGTTTTATAGTCCCTGGGTCTTGGCTGTTGATGGGATAACACGGCACTGGGGGCAGTTTGGTGGGTGTAACACCTACATACTGGAAGATGAGGGATCTGGGTGGAGGAGGCCCAGTCCCAATCCAAGCAGGCTTAGAGATCTCAGCCCCTGGTCCCGCTTGCCTGGGTTCCTCTGCCAGTTCCTTCATGTGTGAGGCTCATCCAAACGTGTGGAGAGTGGTCTTAAGCTTGGCTGTGGCTGGTTTCTGAGGTCTTCAGCTGCCGGGGCTCTCTCTGCTCAGGGCGGGGAGGGAAACTCAACCTGCCCCCCTCCAAGGGGGCCCAGTGAGGACAGCCAGGCTAGGGGGCAGGATACTCTGCCGTAACAATCACTTAATCACTTAATCCCCGTTATTCATCGATTTATTCGAGCGGGTGCCAGTAACGTCTCCATTCATCCCGGTTGCGTGCTAGCGTAGCCCAATGGTATCTGTTCGTTCTAGGAACATGTAGAGCCTCAAACCGATCATTTAGGGTCTTGACGAAGAAGTCTGGCCATCTTATAGGTGGGCGTCCACGTGATCTTTTGATGTCCCGTGGAATCCAATCAGTAATGGCTCTAGTCCAGCGGTTGTCTGTAAACCTCATTACGTGTCCAGCCCATCTGATTTTTGATGTCTTGGCAAATGAGACAGCGTCCCTGATTCTTGAGCGTTGACGAAGATCAGAACTCCGGATTCTATCTCTCATTTGAGTGAATCGTGATATTCCAAGCATAGTTCTTTCGATTCCTCTTTGAGAGACCCGAATAGTGTTCTCATCCTGTTTTCGTAGGGTCCAGGTCTCTGAGGCATATGTTAATGCAGGAAGAATAGTGGAATCAAAAAGATGTGCTCGTAGCTGGAGGTTCTTTGTCCTTTTAGTTATTTCTTCAATGCTCTTGAAGGCATTCCAAGCCGCTCTCTTCCTCCTGCGCAACTCAGATGTCAGGTCATTCATCATGTTGATTTCTCGACCTAGGTATATATAACTGTTGTACTATATATATAACTATAGTACACTAAAAAAACTATAATGTCAACAGTGGGTTTAGGATCAATTTGATGTGTCAAACTGGCTCATCCACTGTAACAAATGTACCAGACTAATTCAGGAGAAGCTGGAGGGGGATTTGGGACACAAACAGAATTTCTCTATACCTTGTGCTCAATTTATCTGGACTGAAAAAAAAAGTTTGAAAAGGGGGTAATCCCCCCTAGAAATGTCTAAATTTAATCAAGTTAATGAGCTATAAAGCATTAAACTTATATTTAAATATGTGTGCATATAGACCAGATTACTTCTATTGTTGTTTTCACTGATTTTGCTGCCTTTGAACTATAATTCCAAAATAAATTATGAAGGGAAAAATACTCAAATTTTAATGAATTTAAATTTGGGATTTTGGGGTTTTTTTATTGTTTGGGAATTATTCCTGGCTCTACACTCTGCTGTCTGTGGTTCTGTGTTCTCCTGGTAGGCTCAGGAGTCCATATAGAAATCTGGGGATTGAGCTTGAGTCTGCTGTGTGAAAGGCACTATCCACTGTACTATCTCTGGCCCTAGAGTTGAGATTAACAAAGAATTGTCAAGGTTTAATCCCTCTAATTGCTTTTCAGTGTCTAGTCAACATTGAGATTTAAATATGAATTATACTATTGTTTTGACAATTTTAATTAAGACCTAGTCCATTTCTTTCATGAGAGCCAAAGGTGAAAACTTTCTTAGGTGA